GAGGTCACTAGTTTTAATAACTAAAAGAAAGGGTTGGTAATCTTCTTCAAAAACATTTTCATATATTTAAAACAAACTGTCTTTACATCCTGACATCAATGAATCAGAAGCTCTTTTGAAAAAGAAAGTATTTTCCGTGGCTGTTGGACTCTAATAACACACTTGACTGTATTCCGCCCGTGCACTCATTGCGCGTCGCCGGAGTCTTCCACACAAGAACTTGCACCATCACTCTCTGGTGTCAAAGGGCCGTAACAAGACTGAGAAATATCAAGCTCTTAATACTCTGCAATTCATTTTTATGAATGAATCTACGCATAATGTCGTTGATCCGGTACAGTGACTACCCGCAGTTACAGGTCTCTGACTTCATTTTAAAAACATGTTGGTTTCGTTCTTATTGATGTCATTTTATCAATCTTGCATTTATTTGACTGGAAACTGTTATATTGGGGACTTTTAAAGACTTTGTATCTTACACAATGAATACGCTCCGGTCGGACTACAGCGAGACTTTCTCTCGCTGACTTTTCAGACTCTCTTAGCCATCATTTGTTCTTATTGTTGTTTACCACAGCTATAAAGAAACATTTAAATAAACATGTACTTGTGCTGCTTTAAAAAGGAAATTTACCGTTAAAACAATAGAAATAACACCACTATTTACTCTAAGTAGTCATGCTCATGTGGGCTCACCGTCATGACTTATTTGGACACTGAACAGAGCCTTTGTTAACAGTATTAGTTCCACCTGTGCTGACAAAAATACATTGGTGTTGTGAAAAAGGTCTTTTCCATTTGAGGCTCATGTCTCTAGAGCCTCCAAAAAAAGCAGCTAGAGGTTATCAGACAACACGTATAAAGAAATACGTCAATAGATATTTGTCCTAGTTGATAATCAACAGTTGTGCGCCGTGGTGCTGACTGTGATACACAGCGACCCGGCCTTTGCTGCGGATTAACGGCTGTAAGACTGTGCAGCAGCGCAGTAATCTATTGTGCTAATCTTCTGCCAATGGGCTGAGGGATTATTAGCCAGATCATGAGGATCAGATTGGGACTGGATTTATGCAACTGCCAGGTCTTAGTCTGGTGCGTCCAGCTGTGTGTGTGTGTGTGTGTGTGTGTGTGTGTGTGTGTGTGTGTGTGTTATGCACAAGGTTAACAAGTTGTATAAGCAAGTTTTTGTCAATGGATGGAAACATTGTGGCCGGGTGCAGGCACAGTAGGGATTGATGAATGATCGGGTGTGTATGGGAGTGTGTTAAAGCGTGAGTTGTGACACGGTTGTCGATTGATTTTCACGTTTGTGTTCCATCGGCTCTTTCGGTTTACAGCTGTCGAAGGTCACTGTGCAGGATGGAATAAAGGCTGCTGTGTTTTTACAGTATGTGCATCCTCACATTAAAGTGGTGACCTGCAGGGATGAATGCATGCGAGAGTTGTTTATTACAAATCCATGAAGGATACACATGAAGAAATTAAATATAAGGATATTTGGACAAAAAATAAGTTTTTAAGGCATCATATAAACGTCCTGCTGGTCCACAAACAGATGTAAAGACGGGTTCGCTTGGCGTAACCTCTGGCTGGCCGTGTCATTTATGGCAGAAAACCGTCCTTCGCACTCACTTTTCATATTTGTGAATACATGTTTTGCAGTTTGAATAACGAAACCTGCTGGGCATTAGCAAGCTTTTAAAAGACCTTTTAGTGACGGTTGCAAGTGTCAAATAATTGACTTATGATTTTCGAGACCCCCTGAAATTTTGCTATTGACAACAAACCTTGCTCCACCGTGAAGGCGTTGAGCTACGTAGCCTCTGTGTGGGTCGACATCACAGCGATATTCTGTCTCTCTCTTCATACACGTGACCCAGTCGGACTGAAGAGGTACACCGAGTGAAGAGCGAGCTGCTGTAAACACTTCATCTGCTGTCAGCGCCTGTTCAATACAATGACCTATTGTTCTCCATCTATTTATTCTACTTCTGCTCCCTGTGTCCCCACTTGTTGCATCTTGATCCTATTTTCATGTCCCACCTCTATTATTTTATTCAGTTTGCACTGTATTTAAAAAAAAAAAAAAATCTTTTTCTGCATGCCAATTGTCAAACCATTTTCTCTGCTTTCCACTCCAGAACATCCTTTTATTTAGTCTCGACTGACCTTTTTCTTGCGTCTCCTCTCATCTTTCCCTCCAGCCTTTGCTCTCATTTCTCTTCAGCATCTTTCCATCTGTGCTGAGATATTAATTATTTTCCCCGGCAGAGCTGAAGAGAGCGTAGAAGTAAAACAAACCGGAGCGAGAGAGAGAGAGAGCTTAAAACAGGCTGTGGATTATAACTGATAGATGCCCTTTTAGGCCAAACAGAGCGCTGCATTAAAGGCTTTCAGAGGACGTGGCCATAGTTTCCTGGATGGCATCGTGTGTCTTGCGCCGAGATGTCAAAGTGACAGTAGAAACATGCACAACGCGCACATGCATGCACACGCCAGATTAGCGACGACCGCCACAACAATGTCGATGTCCCCGAATGTCCACGGCGCCCCAAAGCGTCACCGCCAGAGAGACAGACACAGCTCTGTCCACCTAAATACCCGCTGACCTGCTTTCTCTAAGCTCGTCTGTCCGGCCTCCTCGCTGACCAACTTAATACAAATTTTTGGGAGGGTTATGTGAACAAAGACAAACAAGCAAACCGCCTTTGATGGTAACTCGGTGTCATATCTGTGTCTGTCAGTGTGCTGGGAGGTCTGGGAATATTGGTATTGGAAATCAATACGGGATTGTGTGGCGAACAGGACGAGGCAACGATTTTCAGCTCCCTCCCTCCCTCCCCTCTTTCTGAGGCAATCATGTATGTTGTGTTTCTTTGGCCAAAAGAAAACGTGAACATTTGAGTCAGTGTGTCTGGATTTGAACTCACCTGTGGGTGTAAAATATTCTCATCACAAGGTCCAACTTACTTGTCGCTTCCCAACGCTTTCATACACTTCCGTTCTTCCTCAGCAGATGATTTCTAACCAGAAGGAACACCTAAAGCACTAGGGTTAGGGTTACCGGACTTTTACTTGTAGTGGAGTATTTTCACAGTGTGGTATTACTACATGTACTTGTACTGTAGAGGATCTAAATATTTATTCCACCACTGGCCATTTCACAGCCTGGTGAGTACAGTTACACACTGTATCTGTACAAAGCAAACAGCGGTAACGGGGGAAAGGACTGCACACGGGAGACGCGGTCGACTCTCTGCACTCAGCGCCACGTGTAATTACTGCCGTCATTTCAGCCGGGACCGGCGCAGCTCATTACGACGCTCATAAAGAAGAGCCGTTATCAGTAAAACGCCCGCGCTGTGGCGCTAATGAAAATTTATCTTAACATTGACACTTTGCTCAGCGAGCAGAGATGAAGCTGCCAATCAATCTGTCACTGGAGGCAGGAAGCACGGTTACAAACTGTGCGTGTGTGTGTGTGTGTGTGTGTGTGTGTGTGTGTGTGTGTGTTAAACCCTTGTCTAACTTTATCTCTGACACTAGCCACTTCACCAATAATGGTTTCTTGTTATTCCATGAGGGGGAATCTTTCCCCCGAGCTTCAACAGAAAGATGGAAAACAAGATTTGTACCTCTGCTACCTTTTTAAACAAAAGAAACACCTCCAGAACTCTTTTATTAAAGACGATGAGGGCAGGAATCGGCAGTTGTTTCTATTTCCGTTTGGGCTTCAAGTTGATGAGTCCAAAACCCCAAAGATATCGAGGGCCTCTCTCCATGTCACATATGTATTTAAGGGAGAAATGTACAAATAGCAGGAGGAGACACGTTAACAGAGGAGGATTGTGTGATCTCTCTCATCTGCATTTTTTGGCAAAAAAGATTGACATGAATGATTTTCAAAATGGCTGCAGATACATTTTCTGTCCATTGACTAATCATCTCAGCTCCAAAGTTGAGCTCTAGAGGAACCAAAAGGATTTGTATGTCCAGGAAGACTGACAGCAGTTTTTTTTTCCACATTCGTTCTCTGATTAAACTTTTGAAACTTAAATGCTGAATTTGAAATGTTTCTAGTTTCACACCATTCTTAAGATGTATAGCTGAAAAGTTCCTCTTCTCTTCTCACACCTCTGCATGCACAGAGACCTTCTATCACGCTTTCCTGCGAGCCAGGATACTATGAAAAAAATAAAATCCATTCCGTCCAAATTTGGAGACGGAGATTACATAGTGAGAGCAGCGGCTCCTCTGTGCCAACGAAGTGAAAGGAAGAGACTGTGAAACACACCTACAAGCCCCAAAAATATCCAAATCCGAGTCGAACCCTTTTTAAAGACAAAGCCTATTAAGGATGTGGTATTGAAACATTCGTATGAGTTCAGAGAACCATTCACTGTTTCAGAACAGAAGCAGTGTCCGATGGACGTGTGTATAGCTGGAGCTTATTTCCAACACCAGTCCTTTGATGGGCATTGAGACTTTAAGTAGTTATTAAAATGTTACAGTTTATAATCTTTAAATCAGTGCGTATCATAAACAGCCATCCATGATGACACACAAACAAACATGCAAACAGACGGTTTTTATACCATATTTCACAACCCTCAGATGGAAAATCCTCCCACAACATAGTGAACTCTCCAGTCTCTCTCGCTCTTGAATGGGCTCCAAATATACCTCCCGTCTACGTCTAAAGAAACCAACATGACCAAAGTCATTCATGGCGACAGGATTTATATGTGATATGTGTTACTTGTACATGAAACTGTTGTTTTTCCACGTTTGTCCCTCTGAAATGTTCATGAATGTTGTCTGATTCTGAAGAAGGACATATTCAAATATTTTGTAGTAATAAAGAAATATATTTAGTCGAACTGGAGGATACTCTTGTTGTTGCTGTTCCTTGAGTTTGACTGTGTGACTGTTCTTCTCAACATGTAGAAACTCCTCTTCTCCTTTTGACTTCATGGCCATCTGTCTTTGTCTTTTCCCAGGATCCCTCGGTGCAGAAGGTTAGCGGAGGAAGGAAGAAGACTGTGTCCTTCAGTAGCATGCCCTCTGAGAAGAAGGTAGATTAGCGTCACAGATTTACATGATGAGAAAATAATTCAAAACAAAAAATAGATCATAAAGTGTTTTCATTTTCCATTTCCCAGGTGAGCAGTGCTGCAGACTGCTTGGCGTTCATGCAGGGCGGCTGTGAACTGAAGAAGATCCGGCCCAACTCCAGGGTCTACTGTCGTTTCTACACGCTGGACACCGACCTCAGCTGCGTGCGCTGGGAGCCGTCCAAGAAGGACATCGACCGGGCTCGGCTGGACGTCCTCAGCATCCGAGAGGTTCGCACCGGGAAGAGCACCGAGACGTTCCTCCATAACGGTCCTCTCTCCGAGCACCTGGCTGAGGAAGCGGCCTTCTCAGTCATCCATGGAGATGATTACCAGGTACGTGTCCTCCTCAAAGACCCACAGTGAATAATCTTACCCATCCATCCCGCCCACTAATCTCCTCATCTGTCCCTCCTTACAGTCTCTGGACTTGGTTGCGTTGTCGGCAGATGTGGCCAACATCTGGGTGACGGGCCTTCGCTACCTGTTGGCCCACCCGTCGGTCATCGGGGGTGCCGGGGGAGGCGTCGGAGGAGGAGTAGGGGGGCTGGGCGAAGGATGGGGCGTGCGGGCGGACGGCAGCCCGGGAGGGAAGATGAGGAGTGAGTGGCTGGCGGCGGAGTTCGCCCAGGTGGATGAAGACGGCTACGGCATCGTGTCAGAAGACGTGGCCGTCGCCACCATCTGTAAACTCTGTCCCGGCATCAAGGAAGCCAAGGTGAATAAGTACAGCATCATTTATTATCCTGCACCTTCATGCATATGCTTCATCAGACTGGTGGTTGATGTGGAGCAGTGCACAATTTCAGTGTTTCTAGACCAGAAAACCCCATGTGCCTTAGACAATTAATTTCATTTCATAATTACTACATAACGTTTGACAGTCGTTTATTGGTGTGCCCACATGTTACCAAAAGTATTTCTGTATCTGCTCCTAAATTGAATTCAAATTAAATACTTTAAGCTCTCGGGCAGTGCATGGTATGTGTGTAAATCTATACGTAAAATAGGCAGAAATTGCTAAATATATTAGTTTCTGTTCGCGGCCTAAAAAGATTAGAATGTAAGATGTAAATCTGTAAGTTTAATATTAAGATGTAACAAACAGAGGTAAAGCCAGAGATTATTTCACTAAATGTAGTCGACATCTAGAGTTTAAACTAGGATATAGAAATATGCTGAAGCCATATTATGTTAGCCAGAGGCCGGTTACCTCTCCCCCTGTTCCTCCTCCATGTATCACCTGCTGCTGCTGGAACAAAGAGAATAAGATTAAACCTGGAAACATAGAGAGAGGATGGACGTCTGCGTTGGCTCAGACAGGTGACATGACGGGTGACATCCTGCAAGAACATTTTACAGAGATGACGATGAAGAGGATCAGAGGGGGGAAGATTATTGCCAGCATGGGCTGAGCACAGAACAAGACTAACCGATAGAGAGAAGAAAAGGAGGCAGGTGAAGGAAAGAGATGATTAATACAATGTGTTGTTTATTGGGTCGTTTTTTTTAAATATCCTCATGGAAACAAGATAACTAAAGTTTAATTCAGCTTCGGTGAACGAATGAGGCAGAACGTTGGCTAACTAAATTACCTCACCTCATCTCTCGCTCAATAAACTCTCTTCTTCTCCCTCCACAGGTGCGTCTGCGTTTTAAGGAGATCCAGCGCAGCAAGGAGAAGCTCACCTCCCACGTGATGCGCGAGGAGTTCCACGAGGCCTTCTGCGAGCTCTGCACGCGCCCGGACGTCTACTTCCTGTTGGTGCAGCTGTCGAAGGACCGGGAGTGTCTGGACCCTCAGGACCTCCGACTCTTCTTGGAGACGGAGCAGGGTCTGTCTCTGGCGACCACGGAGGGCTGCTGGGAGCTCCTGCGGCGCTGCGAGCCATCGGCCCAGGGTAAGGAGAGGGGGCTGCTGGGTCTGGACGGATTCGCCCGCTACCTGCAGTCTCCGGAGTGCCAGCTGCTCGACCCGGAGCACCTGGGGGTTTGTCAGGACATGAACATGCCGCTGTCCCACTACTACATCAGGTCTGTTTACCAGTCAGGGCACTGTCTCTGAATTAATTCACTCACTGGTTCTGTTTACTCGCTGCGCTCTGCATGCCACTAAAACAAACAATAAAATGGATCTATTGTGCCGGTAATGCATTATTATGAAGTAGTTTTATGTCTTTTTAGAGATTGTGAACTACCACACTGCCGAGCAACATGTGGACAATGTCAACATTTTCATTTGTCTTCTTCTCTAATATTGTCAGAAGTCACTACATGTCATTAATACTATAAAACATGGTTTAGAAGCAGATTTAGAAGTTGATCTTGTTCCTCAGCACCTCGTACCGCTCCTACCTGCTGGATGACCAGGTCCACGGCAGGGCAGACCTCGGAGGGTTGATCAAGGCCCTGCAGTCCGGCTGTCGATGCGTGGAGCTCGGAGTGACCGACGGCCCGGAGGGGGAGCCTCTCCTCGGGGTGGACTATGGGCCAGATATCCCCCGCCACCATCATCACCACCACCATCACCACCATCACGCGCCTGTCACTCTCCGCTCCGCTCTGGAGGTGGTCAACAAGTACGCCTTTCTGACCTCTCAGTACCCGCTCTTGTTGTACTTGTGCCAGCGTTGTTCCCCCGGCCAGCAGCGCACCATGGCACAGCACTTAAAGAAAGTGTTCGGCTCCCTTCTTTACAAGCCGGAGGCCCTCCCCGTCAGCCTGGGGGGGCGAGCCTCGACCTTGCCCTCCCCCGAGCAGCTAAAGGGACGCATCCTGATCGTAGGGAAGAAGCTCCTTCCGGAGCAGGACGGCTCCGATGGGGAGGTGTCGGAGGAGGATGAGGAGATCGGAGGAGGGGGGCCCCTCGCGGGGAGGCGAATGACCATCCCTGGTGAGGAAGAACTGGGCGTGGTCTTAGTGGTGCCTCCGCCCTCTCAACCCAGGAAGCTGCGCCTCCACAAGGAGCTGTCGGACCTGGTGGCGATCGCTCGCACGGGCAGCCGCAGCTTCTACGCCCAGAGAGCCAGTCACAAACAGGCCCAGCAGCAGTCGCCGCCCAGCAGTCCCACCTCCCCCAGCACGCCGCTGCCTTCTGAGCCGCCTTATTGGACGCTGTGCTCCCTGGGCGAGGGAGAGGGCGGGCGCCTAACCACGGAGAGCCCGGAGGACCTTGTTATGTTCACCAAGCGCACCCTAACGAGGGTACGACCCAGTTCGGTGCGTCTGGACTCCAGTAACCCCAACCCACAGGGGTACTGGAAAGGAGGGGTCCAGCTCGTGGCCTTGAACCAGCAGACCCCCGGCGCCATGCTGGACCTTCACAGGGGTCGCTTCTCACAGAACGGAGGGTGCGGTTATGTCCTCCGACCGTCCGTGATGAGGGACGAGGTGTCGTACTTCAGTGCTCATACGCAGGGCTGTGTGCCAGGAGTGCCAGCTCAAACGCTACGGATTAAGGTGAAGACATCTTAACATCCCTGTTTCTGTAACATTCAGTTCCTTTTCCCCACATTTCAGTTTTCCCTTAAATATTTTTTGTTTGTCGTTTATGTTCTACTGTGCAGGTGATCAGTGCCCACAACCTGCCCAAGCCTCAGGGATCAGGGGCAAAGGGAGAGGTCATTGACCCTTATGTGGTCCTGGAGCTGCACGGCGTACCAGCTGACTGTGCCGAACAGCGGACACGCACCGCTGCTCAGAACCAGGATGACCCGCTGTTTGATGAGACCTTCGAGTTCCAGGTGAGGCCTGCTGCAGCTCTACACACACACCGCCATTAGTCTGGACTGTTTGTTTGTCTGCGAGTTTTGATTTTGATTTTCACTTAAATAATGTAATTTTTTTTATATTTTGAAACAGAGCAAATGCTCAAGCGTGTTGTTTAATTGCAGGTGAGTATTGTCAATTCATTTTTTTGGTGAAGTATGGCGTCCCACGGTACAAGCATGAGTAGAGCATGATGCAGCCTTAACTTACCGTTTCTAGGAGGAATTAATAGTTGGTGGATTTTAGTCTGCACTAATGGAGACTCATTTCAATGCATTAATTTATTCATTCTCTTTAAAAGCAGCAAACATTTTTTTAATGGGCCAGACAGATTTCCCTTGATGTTATTATACACTACTTAACCATAAATATGAAAATACAGCATTCCAAATCAACTGAAATGGGCAGAAAATGTTTTGTGAGACACTGAAATCCTACTTTGCTCACAAGAATGATGCAGTGAGTAAGTGTTTCTTATATTTGATGTTTCAACTAGAACATGTTTACATGCCTTAATATACCTGTATATTCACCCTCTGTCTGAAGCACTTTGTTTTTAGCGTGTGACAGGAAGTGGAGCCAAATCTGATTGGCTTGTTGAATCACATGTTTTATGATCTAGGTTTGTGGGTTGGTTGCAACTCCAAATACCCAAATGTATGAACATACATTGAAAAAGTGAGTTTTTCATATTTCCCCTTTAAGTTAGTTATATTTGGGTTGTTGACGTGCACACACAATAATGTCTATACAGCAAATACTGAGAAAAGCAATAGCCTGTTTAAGCTATTTACATAACAGCATGACAGCCTCTCATAATAATCCTGTTTACAGGAGCAAAAATATGATTTTAATTTGCTAGAGAAAATTGTTGTATTTCGTTTTTATTAAAGACAAAATAAATGTCCCAGGATGCTCGCTGAGGTCTCAGTTCAGTGATAATGTCACTGAAGAAGAGATACTGTAGTTTCTGAAGCAGTTTGTGGTGTTGATGATGTTACAGTTATTAATCTAAACCGGCACAGACTTCTGCTGCTTTTATTGCGTAACGTTTTATTTCAATGTGCATTTAAAAGTGTACTAGATTAAAGATTTTTAGGAAAGAGGAAAATGTCAACAACATAAAAGAGGCTTATGTGATTTTTGGAGAGGTCTACGTGTGCTCTTCTGTCGGCTTTGCACCTGCACCAAAATAGAGCCCAGAGTACTTAATTGAAGGGGCGGAGGGTCCCCGACCATTGAGATTTAAATTAGGTGCTCCCATGAATACACTTATGTCTGCAGTGAATTCATTACAGGAGACGTGATTGGATGGCTGCTGTGTTGCTGATTTGGCTTTTTTTTACCGCTCAGTGACAGAGTCCTGTATCAGTGTGACTGAGCCATAATGACAAGCTGTCACAACTGATATGGCGGTGTGTGTGTGTGTGTGTGTGTGTGTGTGTGTGTGTGTTCAGCGTCCTGACCTAATGCACCATCACAGAGGCCGCAAACAAGTTGCGTAACACCCGTAATTCAAAACAACGTTTGACTGTGATTACATTTGATCTTTGGCAGGAGACGGGCGTTAAGTGGAATTTGAATGCACGTTTGAAACTCCAAACGGATCGCATGTGACGTCACCCTCACACCCTAAACTGCACCGCTGTCATGCCGATGCCTGTTACCTTGTTGCGCACATGAGTATTATTAGCGATGAGGGGAATAAAAGGGTTTTAAATGAGAAAGGGGTGAGGAGCAGGAGGACGAGGTGTTGAACGGATTAAGTCTGATTTTTCCCCCAAATAGTCTTGACCCTCGACTGATTTTACAATCAGTCTGTGGTCACGACGCCTGATTAATTGCCATCGGTTGGATTTCTGGCTGATTTTTGGTCAGCTGTGTTACAATATGAGCAGTTCCACGGTCCAATTTCCCACATGGCTGCTGTCAAAAGATGTTATAAACTGCAGTAAGCTTGTTTTTATATTACTGGAGTTGTATTTTACATGCTGTGGTTGCATATACTGAGGCTGCTTTGACATAAAAAAACTGAACTTCACTGCAGAGCAGACCATATTGTCTGAATCTTCCAGCCATCTGCAGCTCCATGTTTTTATTTCATTATTTTTTTTACTGCTTAAGCAGTGCTGCCTGTCATTATTATTGAGTACGTGGTGGCTTCTGTTTGAAGAAACTTAAACGTCCCATATTGTGGTGACATAAGTGAGATTTCCATTTCTTTTTTCTTCAACGTGTCCTCATGCAGCGGTTCAGAGAAGTAGAGTCATTTTCTCATAGACTTCCATTCAATCAGACGTCTATACAACCAGAGGCGTCGCCCCCTGCTGGCCATTAGAAAGAATGCACGTTTAAGGCACTTCAGCATTGGCTTCACTTTTCAGAATTGGAGGTTTGCCATCTGAACCAAATTGTCGGCAGTTGGGTTGCATTGTGGGTAATGAAGGCGCTCGATTTTTTTTTTTTTTTTTTTTTTTTTTTTTTTTTTTTTTCCACTGTCCGTGATTTTTCAGTATTTTTAAAATTAAGTTTCCAACAGATGAACAACATAATAATAATATAATCACTGAAGAGCAAGTACAAAGCTAAACAAATCAAATCTGGGCACTTTAAGTAGTTCATCTGAGTAAAATAAGCTAACAAAATAAGTCTGATAATGTCACAGGAGTGCAATGCTAAATTGGCAGAGTACTCTTTTAAACGCCAGACGGTGCACTTAAATTATAATACCGTAACATTTAGAACTGTCACTGCTGCCTGTTTACGGACTCATTTTCTTTATAAAAATCAATCGTCTCCTTTTATGGTCAGCTGAGGTTTTTGGAAAATGGTACTCAAGACAAGTTCAGACATTCACTCTCATCTTAATGGTGTCAGACATATTTTTCTTCAAAATTGTATTATGCAAACACAGGTCCACTTTATTCTGGTATTTGTATATAATTTGATTAGAAAAAATATTTTATAAATAAGTTTGAAAAGACATTTATTTTCCCAATTGATTGCCTTTGAAGAATTCTAATAAGAAATGACCCACAGTCCATAATTTGCTCTTGTGAGTGTATGGAGCTGCGAGCACATTGTCGTCCATGACGCTGACGGGTGACCTGACTGTCACGTAATAACTCCAGATGTCGGGACAATGTGAGAGTGTGGATTCATTGTGCTGAGCCTCATTTCGTCTTTTCAGAGCAGCGTTTGGTTTGAAACTGATTGAATTAACTGTCACAGAGCTTTTCTGCTCAGCCAAGGGGCTTGTTGAAGAAAAATTTTGAATTGGATTGAAGTCATCATTCGGCACACACACACACAGCTCGCGCACACGCACACACACACGCACACACACACACACAGCGCTCGCACACACACACACACGCACACAGTCTGCTGGAGCTGTCTGTCTTGCTTGCCCATGCATGGAACTTCAGCTTTTCTCCCCACCACTCTGCCCTCTAACAGCTTATGGGAGTGAAGACACATTAACACACACACACACACGCACACACACACACAGGGATATATACTTTAAGTGCAGTCCAAGCCTAAGGGGGCAGTGCAGTCCTCGTTCAGTCAGTGTGACATATTCTGCGCTCCCTCATCCATCACCACCAGCTTCCCCTTCATACTACACTCACATATTTGAAAAACATTATTATGAACACAGCCCTGCATGCATCTGTGTCTGTATGATTTTATTTCCTCATCAGTATAAGAACTTAAGAAGTATTGTCAACAAAATGTACTATTGGGAGATGACTCAGTCGTCCATCTTTGTGGGACATGTCCTTCGAAGACAGTGGACCCTGAATTTGGACACAGCTATTATATTCACTTCCATGAATATAATTCTTAAATAACAGCCCTGCTGTTTTTGTTTTTGGGGCTCCGTAAGTGCTCTTTTTCCTCCAAGTGAAACAAAGGAGTGTCTTCACTGCTGTGATCCAGAACATTTGTAACGACAGGCTTTTAGCTTTTAGCAGCTGTGACACACAAATTCAGACACATGCAAACTATATTCGCAATATTCGTGAGGAAATCAATGTTTCCTTCCGAGCCTGAAGACTTCATATGGTTTTATTGTTGTGGATGCACACACACACACACACACACACACACACACACGCACACACAGAGACACACAGGCTCGGGGCAAGTTTATTCTCATTCTCTGTGGGAAATGATAGAGTCGTACTGCTTTTTGTTATAGACACGACACCAATATCCATCCTGTGTGTGTGTGTGTGTGTGTGTGTGTGTGTGTGTGTTTGTGTGACTGTACCAGACTTTGAGAAAAACAGCCATTAGCTGATAATGTTTGATTATGAAATGTGTTTACTCTCAGTTCTTCTGCACAGAATGAATATGCAGAGGCACACTGCACCATTTGTCCTCCCACTTACTATGTGCATGTTGTGTGTGTGTGTGTGTGTGTGTGTGTGTGTGTGTGTGTGTCTGTGCTCACATGTACGAGTGTTTATAGCCTTATTAGCCATTAAAGTCCTCTGGAGGTGTGATTTTTAAGTGCAATATTTCAACCAGCATTTCCCCCTCTGCAGCAGCACCAGGACGCGCTGCTCACTGTAGCGTGTAATTAACATTAATGCCTCGCCTCAACAGCTTCATGAGTGACGCTTAATAACACGAAATGGTGTGTGAGCTCCTCAGCTGAATACTCTAACTAATTGATCACCTTTTTGCTGTTGTAAACATTTAATGGAGTGCATCTCTTCCTCCTGATAAGAGCCGACTTGATGATTCTAAATCAAGAGGATGAATAATGTACAGATGTGTTCAGACACTGTCTCTCCTCAGGTGACAAAACATTAAACTTTTAAATGCCTCAGTAATCAAACGGATGAGTTTGTTCCTTCTGGCAAATGCAATTTACTGTAAGACTCTTGAGATGTAAATAACAAGTTTGATGATCCAAGGAATTAGTATTTGGGAAGACTGCCAATGTTTGTGTGTTAAGTATGTCTATATATACTGTATATACTTGGATAATGTAATCTCAGTGGTTCTGGGGCTTTCGATCATATCATATCATATCATATGATCTTCATCAGCATATAAGATTAAACTGTAACTGTAATTAAATTGTAGCTGAATGCTAATTGTAGCATTCCATAACAACTGGGCAAATTCCATCTGCCGATGAAGATCATGTGATATGGTAAAATGCCTCACAGCAGCTACTAAATCCCCCACGTCACAACTGCCGGGAAGAACGGGATAAACTTCCCAAATCCAGGTGTGCAAAACTCGAAGATACTTCAGAAGACTCAAAGCTGTAATTGCCGCCAAAGGGGCTTCTGCAAAGTAATGGATTAGGGGCCAATATACTTTTCAGTTTTAGATTTTTTATAAATTTGCATTAAGGATTATTGAGTGTAGAATAGATTGATGGACAAAATGTCAATTTGATCCATTTCATATTATTATAATTGTTTTATTTGCCCTTAAGGGTCAATGTTAATTTATTTCTCATTTTACAACACAAGCTTGCACACTGAAATGTAATTTGTAGGGCCTTTAAGCTACACACAAATTGGAATATAATAGAATTAAATTAATTTTCTGAAAATATGTGTTCGGTAAAAACGAGAATGAGTAACCAGGTCAAAATGTGCCCGTGGTTCTGTTTCCTGTTCTGGTGCAGGAACGGACTGGACTTTATTCTTCTCTTCTCGTCTGCAGGTGAACATGCCGGAGCTGGCCTTGCTGCGCTTCGTGGTGTTAGACGACGACTACATCGGAGACGACTTCATCGGCCAGTACAGCATGGCCTTCGAGTGCCTTCAGCCCGGCTACCGCAATGTGCCCCTGCTGGGCATGGCGGGAGACCCCTTACCCCACACCAGCCTGTTTGTCCACGTGGCGATAACCAACCGGCCGGGAGGCGGGAAGGCCCAGCGGCGAGGTCTGTCGGTGAGGAGGGTGGGGAGGCGAGGCCGGGAGTATGTCACGCTCAGGCACACCGGCATCAAGGTGGTGGACGAGACTTTCAAACCGGCTGGTGCCCCCCTCAAAGAGGCCACGGACCTGCGGGAGGACGCTCAGGTGAGAGGCAATTAGGCAGGGCGTTGATAATACATAGTTTGACTGCAAGTGTCAGAAAGGGAGACTTAACAGACTTTACTTTAGGTTTTTTACTATTGTACAACAACACGGAGGATCCGTAGTCCGAACTCACAGGGCAAACTTTATTACTCCTTTCAACCTTCAGGAGGCAGACCAGATCCACTCCTTCCTTTCTTACCTTTCACAATAAAAGCTCTGGACATAAACACCTTAAAGGGCATTTTGCCAAAAAGGAAACTCGATAAAATAGCTCACAGTAGCTTAGGCTACACAACAGTTAACCTCAGACAGACTGGCAGACGCTGCTCTGGGTCAAAAGGATCGTTGTAGTTGAATCTCTTCAAGACTTTTATTCAAAAAGTGTTGCGACGGTTGTAAATTTGCATCGCTGCCGTTAAGAATACTTTATATATTCACAGCGAGTCATTGATTTGTCACGCCCCCCAGGTGTGTAAAGGCTTTAACTCCTCATTGTATCGAGCCAACTGCATTTTCCAACGTTTTGGTTTAGTTCCTGCAGATGCAACGCTCTTGAGTTCAGACATAACGCTCAGTTTAGAGGTGCTGCAACTGCATACGATGTCGATTCAGTTATTATTTATTTTGGCCATTATCACAAATCACAGGGGCTTTTACAATCCGGACACGCTCCGTCCTTAGACCATCAATCCGGATAAGGCACAACTCACCAAAAAACACAGCATTTGGCAATAAAGAAAAGAACCTCATGAAGAGCAACAGAGAAGAGTTCCCTCTCCCAGGACAGACAGACATGCAGAAGATGCTGTGTGTGTACACATTGTAAACGCATAAGAATATTGATCCAGGAGGACATTGGGCAACTTCAGCTATCAACAAGCGTCAATAGAAAGATACGATAAGACGTGAATGTGTCTGGGGCAGCACATGCTGACACGTCAGCCAAGTTCCAAATGTTTCAATTGAAGCAAAAAAACAAACAAACAACGTATGAATCTGTTTCATAAACACACAGAAACGAGACGTAAAAGGAGAGAAACTGGAGGGAAATAACAGAGGGAACAGAGTTTCTGTTCAGTCAGAGTCTGAGCTGGTGATGTACTTAAAGTCTGTAATACCAGCTGTTTGTACAAACTGTACTGGCTAGACTGGATAATCCACAGACGACTTTCTTAACAGTTTATAGAAACTGTTCTAAATTATAGAAACTGTTCAGCGAGGATTTTGGATTATCCAGAATAACCAGAACATTGTTCCTGGAAAGAATAGTTTTTTTATGTTTCAATGTCAGTGCTTTGAGCAGCAGAAACACAATTCCATTCACCTCATTGTATTCTGTTAGAGGCAGAAATCTCAACATCTGTAGGCATGGACCTGTTCTTTTTTGTTGGTTTTGTTTTGGTGAACAAATACTTTCTCTGGTACTTTATGTTAAATTGATTTAAAAGGCGAATTCCAGCCAGGTTATAAAGGTTATAAAGAAAATGGCAACTTACATGACGGTGCTGAAATCAGACTAAGACTTCTCTGTTGGGTGAAGGAGAAGGAGGAGAGCCAGTGACAAAAGAAGTAAGAAGAGTGGAGGAGGATAAAGCTTCTATAAATATCAGCAAAAATAGAAGCTGGTCGCACAGCACCCACCAGCTTATCGCTGAATACAAACGATATAAGTGTGGGCGATGTGAATAGAATCCTCTTTCTCCGTATATATCTGTTTTTAGAGATATATATTATATGATGATACACTTTATAGCCCAAAGGATGTGGACACTCCTGCCCTTTCCTGTTTTAACTTCCCAAAACCAGCTCCATAAAGAAATGGTTTCCCAGTATGGTGACCTCAATCCCATCCAACTCCTTTGGGATGATCTGGAAGGCCGGCTGTGAGCCGACCGTATCGCCCAACATCAGCACCCGAACTCACTAATGCTCCTGTGGCTGAAGGGGAGCAGCAAATCCCTGCAGCCAAGACTGGAGGCAGTTAAAGCAGCAGATTGTTTGAAGACTCGAATATCTGTGAGTTAAGACAATAAGTGCCAGGACCTGGTTAGCTTAGCTTAGCATAAAGAATGGAAGCAAGAAAACAGGTTTTTCTTTTTAGGGATACGTGGTTCTCACAGGACAGAGACGCTACAAACATATGATGATCTTATAGAATAGGATGCTCTGCTGTAGATTAAACTAACCAACAAATGAGTTTAAAATCAACATACTAATCCAGAAACATCTGATATATTAGTAAACCACTGACAGGGAGCACTTTACTGCACTATGAATACTTTTACTTGAGTAAAGGAACTAAACACTTCTTCCACAACTGCCTAAATGTCGAGTTATTTCTTTAACAATCATGGTTTTATAAAAAGAAACTTAACATCAACATGTGTTATGTTTGGTCGTTTTGGCCATATAGTGTAGATTTATGGATTAGATAACGGAAAAGGAATCTCTGGTTTTGGCGAATTCAGTCATCTGAAAAATTAAGGTATTCCATGACACTGATGTAATTTCCGATATCGCCATAAAACACTCCTCCTCCTCCTCGCTCGTTCGTTTGCAACATTTCCTGCAACGGTTGAGTAGCCTCCTCAGTACAAACGGTAAAGCAACCTCTATCGGGAGATACATCCTTCATCGTCTCATGTATCACCCAAAGCTGAAACAATCCCGCCCAATCAATGTGTCAGACATCCTCCCTCGCAGACCCACACACACACACACACACACACACACACACACACACACACACACAC